GGGGAGCTAGCTAACTTTGTCCTTAGTTATTCACCAGCCATACACGCCGAGTCTTCCACGATGAAGTTATATAATATTTTCATAAAAATAATAATTTCCGATGATAATCCGCTGAAGTTAAATGAGTTGTAATGTTCAAACTTTGTAAATGCTCCTGGTCAAATATCTGAAGTTTTCCGATTAATAAGTGCTAATCATAATTATAGTTATAGCTTCCAAAGTTTATAGGACACTGATTATAGCAAACTGATAATAGATAATGTTTTTGGCACGTCGCGTTGGTTATATTTATAGGCGTGTAGAGAGTTTCTCGAAAATCAGATACGTAACAATACTAAAACGCTACACTAAGCATTTACGTACATACATATATTGTTGATTCTTACACTCGAGAATATTCTACAACTTTAGACAATAGGCAGGAGTTTCTCAATAAATATTTAACACTATAAGCTATGCATATTTCTAAATGTAAACTTAAGTTAAGCACAAAGCTTCACAATGGGCTATCTGTGCTCTGCCCACCATGGTTGTCGAAACCCAGTTTATAGCGTTGTAAGTCCGCTGTGCCACTGGGGGGCGAATTCTTTGAAAGAAATAAATTTCCATTAATATGTTTATGCTGTTGTTTTGCCGTGGAATAAAGATCGAATTTTTAAAAATTTAATCTTATTATTTTGAAACATTAGGACACAGATTTTCAAATATAGTAGTAACGTACTAAAATTAATTCTATCATTTTAACATTCTAGGTTCGTGAAAAACTACGAGTAGCACTAGAAAGAGCTGCAAAACTAGAAGAGGAAGTAGCAAAAGCTAATGATGAGGTAAGCTGAAAATAATTTTGAGTTTTGAAGAAGTGAAAATTAATTTTGTGGATTCAGTTACCCATGGAATTTCAGAATGAAAATATAACGATTTGAGTTAGTGTTACAGGTGACAAGTGTGTGGCGTATTAAAAATGTGTTGTTGTTTTTTTTTAACCACACATATCACGTATAAATAACATGAACGTTAAGGCCTAATAAAACGTTCATTAATGACTTCTATTACATGATCTTTGTAAAGTCCCTTTGATTGTTTGCGAAGTTTAATTATTTTAGACATCTACTTAACAATTATATTGTTATCTGTAAATAAATTTTCTTCACTTCTATTTGTTTGTTTGTTTTGAATTTCGCGCAAAGCTACACGAGGGCTATCTGCGCTAGCCGTCCCTAATTTAGCAGTGTAGGACTAGAGGGAAGGCAGCTAGTCATCACCACCCACCGCCAACTCTTGGGCTCCTCTTTTACCAACGAATAGTGGGATTGACCGTCACATTATAACTCCCCCACAGCTGAAATGGCGTGCATGTTTGGTGGGACGGGGATTCGAGCCCGCGACCCTCAGATTGCGAGTCAAGCGCCCTAACCACCTGGCCATGCCGGGCCATTCATTTCTATTTAATGGACACAGGATGAATATAATTTATAATTTTATTATATTTTACCTTTAAGAGCTACCTCAACCATTTTTTGTTGTTGTTTTCCGATCTTTTTCAGTTTCAAAATCTGTATGCTATTTTAATAAAGATAATCTCACTTTAAGGCGTATTTTGTGGTTCATGAAGTAAAGTAAAATATAAAGTGAATTTTTATTACCTGGAAATATTTTTTCATCATTTTTCTGCAATTTACTAAACACGCTATAGAAAAAGTGAGTCTCCAAAACAGACAATGTTGGTCAAAAACATGATCCAGAGTAGAGATGTACTACACACAAGGTTGGTGAACTCATGATCCAGAGTAGAGATGTACTACACACAAGGTTGGTGAACTCATGATCCAAAGTAGAGATGTACTATACACAAGGTTGGTGAAAACATGATCCAGAGTAGAGATGTACTACACACAAGGTTGGTGAAAACATGACTTAGGGTAGAGATGTACTCCAAACAAAGTTGGTGTGGAGATGTACTATACAAAAATTTGGGTAAACATATACTACAAACAGAGTGGTGAAAACATAACTCAGAGTAGATATGTACTACACACAAGGTTGGTGAAAACATGATCCAATTTAAAGATGTACTACACACAAGGTTGGTGTAAACATGATTCAGAGTAGAGATATACTACACATGAAGTTGGTTTAAATATGACCCAGGGTAGAGACTTCACGTACTAAAAATTAAAAGCAGATAAAATGGGATAGAGAAGAATACAGTAATGGTGGTTTTATTGTATTTTTTATATTCCATTACAGCTGTTTTTAGTTCTTAAAGCATGAGGAATACCTTCAGCAATTACATTATTTGTTATAGGTAATCCTCAAGTTATTAGTCATTAAATGTAAAAGAAATAACCCTAAACAGGACTTAGAGAAAAGAGGATATAAATCTACATTTGATGCAGGGGACAAACTAACAGATCAGTTAACAAATTACCAAGATCTTGTTTATACTCAAGTTAAAGGATGTGAAAAATTATAGTGTGTGTGTGAATTCATGCGTGTTTTCTGGTACATATCCAACTAGCTTCTGTGTGTGTGTGTATATCTGTGCTAGCCATCCCTAATTTAGCAGTGTAAGACTAGAGGGAAGGCAGCTAGTTATCACCACCCACCGCCAACTCTTGGGCTACTCCTTTACTAACGAATAGTGGGATTGACTGTCACATTATAATGCCCCCACAGCTGAAAGGGTGAGCATGTTTGGTGTGATGGAGATTTGAACTCGTGACCCGCATATTGGGAGTCGAGTGCCCTAATCACCTGGCCATGCCGGGCAAGTTGAAGAGAAACAAATGTGAAGTTTAGATGCATTTCTAATGATTTAATTATACTATTTTTAGTGGCTTCTTCTTTTTCAGCATTGTATAACAGCCAATGCATAATTTGTAGTATGTAGCATCATATGCTGGCCTTGGTTGCAATGGGTGAATATGAACATCCAAAAGAGATAGCCACCATGTCTTGGAGTGGCACCAAAGAATCACAAATATTTTTGAAAGGTGTTTTTTATGCTCTAAAGAGTTTGTTTTTCTAATGTGTTTTATTCTATTTTACATTATTTTTGTTTAAAGTTTTGTATTTTTTTCCCCACATGATCAGTAGTGTATTGTTTCTTCTACTTTGAACTTTAAAGTGTTACCTTTTTTATATGTTGTCCGCCATTGGGTTAGCAGTAAGTTTACAGACTTAAAATGCTGAAATCTTATGTTCGATCCAATGCCATGGACAGATTGCAAACAGCCCAATTTGAAGCTTTGCACTAAGAAAAAGACACTAACATTTTATGTTCTGTGCTTTACTTACATTTTTATTTATTTCAAAAAGTGTGCTCTTATCTTACTGTATTTCATTTAAAGGGTATTATATTATATTTGTTACTTTGTATTTTTACTTGTCTTATTATATGTGCTTTTCATTTCACTAGCTCTGTGTAGACTCATAAGTTCTTAGAATTAGTTAAATATGTTCATTGTAACTACGAGTTTTCTGTATGTGTGGCTCAACTTGTGTACTACCATATTGTGCTTGTCTGTAATGTTTCCAATCAGTTCAATCAAGGGTTGTGATTTTCATGCAGTTTCACTTTACTACACTATAACTTTTTAATTGGTGTTAAAAGTTAATTAAAGTTGGCTCATGGACATGTCTAAGATAAGGGAGATGAAGGTCGTAGTATACAAATACTAAATATTGTACTCACTTACTTGAATAAGGAGACACATATAATAATAAGTTGGCAAACAATGGCTTATAAGCATGATAATAAAGTGATTTATTTTGAGGGAGAACATCCTACATGTTTAGACAAAACATTGGTCTGTCTAACCGTCTGTTAATGTTCTGTTGAAACGTAGTGTGTTACTCCAAAAACAAATCACTCCATTGTGCTTTTAAATAATTGTTTGACAACTTATAATTATTGTACTGTCAATAGCATACGTTTTATTTCTACAAAATCTTTAAGTATTTCTAAGTTCTAATTTTGGAACAGATTAAATCAATTTGAAATCATGGGTAAAACTCGGCATGCCTTATCTTAACTGCTTTTAAGTATTTCTAAGTTCTAATTTTGGAACAGATTAAATCAATTTGAAATCATGGGTAAAACTCGGCATGCCTTATCTTAACTGCTTTTAAGTATTTCTAAGTTCTAATTTTAGAACACATTAAATCAATTTGAAATCATGGGTAAAACTCTGCATTCCTTATCTTAACTGCTAATCATGCACATTTTATTTTAGTTTCATATTCTCAAAGTGGAAGACATTTAATACAATTGTATGTGAAAGGTGAAATACAGTATTTCACTGCATTCATCAAAGTTGTTTGTTTCTTCTCTTCTGCACTCATTCTAACACTAATATTCCATGGAGCCAAAACGTATGACCTCTTGTTATTGGAGGTAGTTTATCTGTGTTTTTTACAACACTGGAACAAACACTGTCATATACATAGACATTACAGCACATCACGTTGTTTATCCTGTGGTATTATTATCCATTGTTATGACACACTATGACATTACCTAAGATATTAACATATTTGATGTTAAACTTATGAAATTCAAATACGTATGGTATATATCATCTTGTACCCATTTGCTATAGCATAATATAGTACCTCAGTATATCACACGAGTTTCATCTCTTTCAGTGGACAAACAAAGCAGCATATCTCCTCTCTTAACTTTATATTCATTTCAACACAACTGAAAAGAACTTATGAAAAAAGGTCATTGCTACGAGATTCAGGAAACATAACTGTGGCCCACCGTCTACTATTTTAATTGTTAACACATGAAAATTATTATGTTAAAGTTGTTTTTTTAGTGACTCTTTGTTAGGTTACAACTATAGGTTCCAAAGTTACAAAGAAAATAGCAGAAGAAACAAATGTTCAGCTCCACAGATTGTCTTCTCTGTTGTGTTTACCACTCAGGATCAGAATAGTAAAGTTTATTGTCAGTTTGCAATATTGTTTGTTTTATTCATAGTAAGATGCCTTTTTTTAACCTTTTGTTAAAAAGAAGCACCAAATAAACTTACTCTCTTTACTAAACTCTTTTTGACCCTTACAGTTAGCCGAACATAAATATAAGAATATCCTGAAAGAACTACATGGAGGAGGAGAGCCAAATGTATGTTTCTATATTATTGATTATAATAGATATTTTTAAAATTTAATATAGTAGTTACACACAGAGACAAAGATATGTACATACAAAACAAATTCCAAAAAACAAGTACACATATACACCAGACAAAAAAAACTGGGATACAAGGTACAGTGTGGGGTATAGGACCCACACAGCTATCAGCTTGAATCTTTAAATACAGGCCTCACATGATGTAAGAAAACAAAAAGTTAAGAGCAGATACGAAGCTCAAACCCACAGTGTTTTACATCAAAAACTATCATTTGCTGTCTGCAGCCATAATAATAATCAAGGAATAGAATTTGGAGGCAAGATTCCATTTTTCATATGTTTGATAGTAGGGTATTTTGATCTAATCATTTAAGGTTTTATTATAACGTTCATTTAGATAGACACTTAAAAGGGCCGAACTACCAAGCTCAGGTGATAAGCTATATTTACTACCCCAAGGTTTGTTTTTATAATTCTGTTATGTTAGGATCAGTTACCTTTTCACAGCTGAAAATAGTGAATGTTAGTTTGGACATTGTGGACTTGAGCACACATATGTTCCCTTAATTTAGTTTAATTTTTTATTCCACATGTAAGGTTTGAGAACAGAGGTTAAATGTAATAGATGGTGTAACCCTACCCCTGTGTGAGTTTAGATACTTCTTGTACTATAGTATATGTGTATTCCCTTTCTTTCAATATAATTGATACCTTGTTTTATTTTGTCTGTCTCTTATGCATGTTGCTTTTGTATTTGGTCTTGCACTCTGAACATTTTTTAAATACCACTAAAGTTAAAATGGTGTTGTTTTAATACTCTTCTCCTTAAAAAGAGTTAAAATTAACATAACTGTTGTCGATTTTTATAAATATCCAACTCTAAGTACATACACACACACACATATATATATATATATATATACTTTTTAAATTATTACACTAAAAACAGTACTTTTTTGTGCAATGATTTGTTGGTATGAAGTTTTTTATCTATGTGCAATTTGTATAGTTTATGTTGTAAACACTGTCTAATAAACATGCCAATTTTTAGTGTAGAACTTGTAAAGTATAAAAAATGCATTTTAAAACTGTATCTGATATATGTTTTTTATTGTTCTGTGATTACTTGTTAGGATTAAAGTAATATGTTGCAGTGTTCTAAATAAATTAATGTTATTTTCTCTTCTAGCTATCGAATGGGTCAGCAGAGGTTACAGCAGAAGCAGCAAGAGTTGTAGAATTACAATGTACAATAGAAAAACAGGATACAGAACTAAGCTTAGCAAGAAGCAAGCTAGTAGAGCTTGGTAGTAAGCTTAAAGAGTTTGAAGAGGCTCTTTCTGTTTCAAAAAGAAATGTAGGAAGATTACAGGAGGAAAATTTGAGACTATCGCAAGACCTGAAAGAGGTAAGAATCATGTAAACATATACTGATTTCATATACCTGCAATAAAAGCTTTTTATCCAGCTCTAAAAGGTATTCAGATAGAAGAAATGAAAATTATTAGAAACTTGTATCGAGTAAATTAATTTTAGTTACTGGATACTAAGAATAAAATAAAGTATGTACAGCAAAAAATGTTAGTATGTGTTTATCATCATATTAGGTATAACTTGAGAAAATTAAATGTTTAAATTTGTACTGATGGTTCTGTGTGTATATATTGTACAGACTAAAAAAAGGAATAATGAAATATTTTTATATTTCCTTAGAACAATGCTCAAAAATATGACCAAGAAGAAAGAATAGTAACATTAGAGAAGAGATACCTTAATGCTCAACGTGAATCTACGTCATTGCATGACTTAAATGAAAAACTAGAAGAAGAGTTGTCTAACAAAGAAGAACAACTTAAACTTGTAAGTTTTTCAACATCTGTTTTTCTAGTAACCTCCCTGAAAAAGACAAAACTCTTGGTAGTTACATTGAATTTTAAATTATACTTATTATTATTATTATGTTTATCTTAAATAAGAAATATTAAATATAACTAGCACTACAAGTGAAAATTATTGTCATTCTTCTAGAACAAACGTATCTATGAGTAGACATTCATAACGTACCCGAGAATTACTTTTGCTTTATGTCACATTCTGAGGACAAACATATTGTTACGTCTCTGGTCGTTTGTTAATTGAACTTTTTAGTCTTTTTCTAAATTAATAATCAAAGTAAATGCTATTATTTTACCTAAAATTTCACTTTTTGTTTTTCCTAAAGAGTGAAGAGAAAATCCGTGCATTGCAAGAAAGGATAGAACTATTAGAACAGAAACTTAATGAGTTTTCTAAGAAGACTGATGTTGCAAAAGAAGTTAAAGGTCTGCAACTAGTCGAAGATGTGTTTCAGGTTGGTGTTAAGAAGTGCATATTTTACTAATGTGTATACATATATGTTTGTTTCACAATATTCTACTGTTAAATATAAATAATCCTGTGTTAGGTAGCATCATATTTATTCTTTATTTATAAATTCATGACAAAGAATTGCAGATTTTTTACCTACCAACTTCTATATCCTCTGTTGGAAACTTTCTCACTGCTAGAGCTGGAAAATGTATGTATGGGCAAGATTAAGACAATGAATAGCATTAAACTAATATTATTAAATGAATAGTACTAAACTCTCAAGTCAGCCCAAAGTCTTAAAAAAGGTATTGCATAATCCCAGTTTTCTTATGTTAGTAATCACTCCTATTGCACGTATTCAATGTAGGTAATCCCCAATTCATATAAGCTTGTACAAGTCTGTCAGTTTTTATGGGGGCTGAATTCTTTACTGTAGGTCTGTGACTTATTGTGATAAATGTCAACACTAAACAGACAGCACACAATCCACTTGTTTTAAAATAATATTTTCAAAACTAGTCAAACATATTTACAAAAATTCATTACACTATTCGTTATCATTGTTGTATCCAGAGCTTTAAATATATTTCATCAAAGTCCACACAGGCGGGTTCAATTACTTTAAAACACCCTTTGACAAGACAATTTATTCATTGTCTCTGTTGTTACAATATCACTGTAAAACTCACTTTAAATATTGCTTGTTACAGCTAAACTAACAATCACACAGTCTAATTTCACCTTAACTTCTTTATAAATCACCTGTCACAGCTAAACTGCCAATCACTCACTTTAGATCTGTCAATTATCACTCACTTTAACTTTTTTTGTTTTTCATTCTATATCTGGATGTATTTATAACACATGACAGAAAAATACAAAAATATCTGTCCCTCTAGTGACAACAATATTGTACAACAAGAAAAGCTTAGAAGCTTTGAGTAAGACCACGTCAACAATATTACAAAAGCCTAATACAACAATTAAACTGCATACACAATGTATGACTTGTACCAAGTTACGTAACGAAATTTCTCATAACTATCGCTTTTAAAATAATTAGCTTTTAAAACTCTTGTTTTTAAAATTACATAGTAAACCACTAGAAAAACTAGTAACTCTTAAATTAAACAGTCTTGTATATCCAACACTGTACCTCCCCTTGAAATGAATACAACCTCATACCAGAATGGCATGATACAGAGTCAAACAGGCATAAGTCTAACAGAATAGCCTTTTAAATATATATATATAAGCTATGTAATACAAGTTTGTCCTCTACAATCCTGTTTACATGGATACCAACCAATTAATTGTATGCAGAACACCTTCATGGAAATTTAGAAAAACAACCAGGATATACCTAAATAAAAGTATTTTTTACTTGTTACTGAAGGGTTAAATTTCAGTTTTTCTGCTATCACACTCTTTTATGAGACTGGTGAAATTGAGTGAATTTAAACACTTCAAGAATTCCATTATTGCAACACTTACATCTGTATTTGTTTAGATCAGTCATGTTGCTTTTGTTCTGCATGAATCCACAAATGTTTGTGTTCTCTGTGTACCTCAGTCATTATGAAATAAAACTATGAAAGTATTTATATCATTAATGTTTTTTATTAATATTATATAAAAACTGAGCCATATATTTTCCATATAATACTATGAATTATGATTCACTTCACTATATATTCCAATATGTCAGGTTTTTATACATATGAATTGGCAGGATTCTTTTCAGTAGGGGACTGTGACTTGTTGGCATTGAGTTTCAACAATAAATGAACAGCACACAGTTCACTTGTTTTGAAATAATGTATTAAAACAAGTCAGTTATACCTAGAGCTTTAAATAACCATCTCTTTTTGTTGAAGTCCATACAGGCTAGTTCAGTTACTTTACAACACAATTGACAAAATGAATAATTCTTCTCTGCTCTGTTACTACAATACAGCCAGTGATAATTTCACTTACTATTACACTGTTGGTTACCCAGTTGTATTTATAGCTTTAAATAATTATCTTTTTGTTAAAAGTTAACACACATTTGTTCAATTTCTAAAGAACACAATTGACAAGATAACTTATTCTTCTCTACTCTTAATACAATATTATCTGCAATAATTTCACTTAAAAAAAACACAAAATCCCACTATATGCTCTTTATGGCTAAACTCACAAACATGCAGTCTAGATCTATTTGCCTATATCTCTCACTAACTTACTTCAACTACATTTTGAATGCATATGTATAAATAGTCCACCTGAGATCTAGAACTTTCTACATACCACAAGATATTATAATGTAATAATACTGGAGAAAACTTACAAGGTTCTAGTAACATGCTAAGCACAGATGATGAAATTGTTTCTGTGACATTAGAGTATAAGCATTTAATGTTTGTGTATTGTAAAAATTTATGAAAAAATAAATTATTTCAGTGCAAAATATGTTTCTATAATTTGATAAATACATGCATCATTTGTTTCGAAAAAACTGTCAGTAAAGAAAGATGTATCCTGCATGCCAAAATACCATTGTTGATGTTCCTTAAATACCTTCCAATAAAGACAGATCAAGCCTTCCAACATAATTATCTTGATGTTTGTTCATTAAATACCTATCAGTAAAGACAGATCTATATGTATGTTACAAATTTCTTTTCATTTTCACCAAAGGTAAAAATGGAAAATATCATTTGTGTCAGATGAAAATGCAGTCTACAGCAGAGTGTAAGACCAATCAAGGAATGCATTAGGCCTCTATGTCACAGATATTTTCAATTTTACCTATGGTAAAAAAGAAATTAAATCTCTCACATACTTATAGAATCATTAAACAGTTGGTCTGTTGTATAATATCAAATAATAAATTAGGCATAATGCCATAAAATCCAGTTAATGATGTAGCGCTCCAGAACTTTGGTTGCCAAGTACTCCCCTGGCCTTCCCTGGGGGACTTGTCTGATTTGAAGGCTTTCGAATAAGAAGAGAGAAAAACCCTACAAGACTAAGCATGACATACCAAGAAGTCTTCTATAGACATAATCAAAGTTACTCTGATACCTAAAATGAAGGGACTCATCTTGAAACGTGGAGAATACAAAGTATCTAGTCAGAGATTTAATTCTGTTGTCCAGAGAAGATACAGTGACTTTGTAGTTCTACATGAAATTTTGTTACCAGATTTCCATGCAGAATTATACCTCAGCTGCCTCCAAAATAATTTGTCAAAACAGATGCTCACTTTATTGAAGAATGACGAATAGCTCTGAAGAGGTTCTTGACACTAGTAGTTGGACATCCAAATATTTCTGAGGATTCACTTATTCATTTCTTTCTTACATTCTTAGGTAGGGATATCCAACATGATGTTAAAGAAGAATGAGTTTTCTACTAATAGGCTAGCTCAAACAGTTGAAGAATTGGTTCCCCTTGACACACCTACACAATCCAGACTAGCTCATGACCTGATGAAGCAGGTACACTCCAGTGTCAGTAAGCTCAAAGATGCTCTAGAGAGTATTAAAGAACAAACACTAGATGGTGCTGTGAACATGCTGACATTTGAAACAGAGTTGAGCTGACTTGCCAACATGGCCAATACTGACTCAGACTGGAGTTTAAGTGGAAACAAAATGTGGAACCATTTGAAGAAAGGTTTTAAATCCCTTCATTCTTTATTTCCTCCTACTTCTGATGCACCAGCTGAACATCTGAAACAGGAAGATGAGGAAGTTCTTGAAAAGCTGAACTTGTTCTTGAATCTTCTAAGTGCATACAAAGAGTTACATGATCACTATGACAATAACATTAACAAAATGAAGAGAAAGTCATCAAGTGACCTGTCTGCTCCACAGGAGGAAGAACAACAGGAGAAGAGGAAACATTTTGCACTCCACTGCATCCGTATGGAAACACAATTTGTTCATTATCACATGAATATACTTGGTGAGATGTTACACTCCTCAATAGAACTGGAGACAATCAAACACTATAAGATATATGAACTATGGAAGAACATGCACCCTATGATGGAGAATATGAATTTTGCAGATCTTGTGGAAGAAAGATTAGGATTGACATCTCCAACTGGAAACAAGAGTCCCTACTTTCCTTCCAAATGAAATCTATGAAGACAATTTTTGTGTAGATAGTAGGAAAAGATTTTTGTGTAAATGACAGATCTAGTTTGGCAAAATAATTGTGTTGATGGTCAATAAATACCTATCAGTGAAACAGATCTAGCCTACCAAAATATCTTTTTTAATGTTCATTATTAAATACGTATCAGTAAAGACAGACATAGTTTGACAAAATACCTGTGTTGATGTTTGTTCATTAAATACTTATCAGTAAAGACAGATCTAGCTTGCCAAAATACCTATGTGGATGGTCATTAAATGATTCTGATTAATTATGAGAAAAACATAGAACAATCTAGCAAACTGAAATCTGTCAAATATATCAAGATGCATGGTATTGTGTTGTGCAGGACACAGTGTGTTATTAACAGGAGTGATAGTTTAGTGATTTTCCACTTTTTGTAGGTTATACTGTGGCAATCCAAACTATCGCATAATTTCAGTGAATGTACTCTACTGGATCCTTATTTCACATATCAAATTTTAAGGCAATTCAATAAGAAAGACATGAGATATAAAATCTCCAATTATGATTGAATTTTTTTCTTTTTTTTCTCATGAATTTTTTAAAGTTTGGTACACTGACACATCTTTAGACCTTACAATTAGGTGTCAAATTCAGTTTAAGTATAAGCCACATGTGTAAAGTTATTCAACAAAAACTGCTCATATTTGACCAACATCTTTGTGCAAAATTCACATGAGCTATGGGTCTAACATTTTCACTACAACTTCACTTAAGACTAAAGTGGACTGTTTATAGCATTTTGTCATTTGAATTAAAGATAGCTCATTTAGAGTAGCAAAACTATAAGGTGAAAGGACGTGCAGATACATAAGTATTGGTTAGGCCGAGCAAACTAGATTAGCAATTTGTAACTGAAGTTTTCAAAAGAAACATGCAGGTGGACAGTTATTGATTATTGATTGTCAACTTTTCAGCACAAATTTACTAAATTTTATGAAATTATCTTAATTAAATAATG